AAAAGGTCCGTCGATATTTGTCTTGCCAACTGGGCGCCGGCGGTAAACCGTCAACATTTCTTACCGCCGGGGGACTCGTAGAGCTTCCTGAGAATATATAATGTGGAAGAAAAGCCCGAGTTACGCGCGTAAATCGACAGCACCTCTCAAGATGACTCTAACAAAACGAATAGTTTGGGAACCCAGCTCGAGTATCAAACCGAGTTCAGACCTCTGAATGGGACAGGCGGACGCGTCTGATGTCTGCGAATCCACTCCTGTGATTACCAGCCCTGCAGCCCCCCTACAGCCCGAGTCAAGTGCAGAAAACCGACAGCACCTCTCAGGATGACTCGAACAATACAATAGTTTCGCGGACCTAGTTCGGGCAGCAGACCGAGTTCCGAGCTCTCGATTCGACAGGCGGACGCGCCTGATCTCTTCAAATAGATTCCTGTGACCACCAGCACTGTAGCCCCCCCCCCAGCCCGAGTTAGGTGCAGAAAACCGAGAGCACTTCTCAAGATGACTCGAACAATACGAATAGTTTCGCGATTCTAGATCGGGCAGCAGACCGAGTTCAGAGCTCTGGATTCAACAGACAAATGCGACTGATGATTCTGAATCGGTTTCTGTGAGCATCAGCTCTCTAGCTGTGCTATAGCTCGAGTTAAATACAGAAAACCGAGAGCGTCTGTCAAGATGACTCGAATAATACGAATCGGTTTGCGGACCTAGCTCAGCTAGCAGCCCGAGTTCAGGCCTCTAGATTCAACAGGCGAACGCGCCTGATCATTCTGGATCGATTAGCTGTGCCTACCAGCTCTGTAGCTGTCCTAAAGCTCGAGTTTTGTTCAGATAACCGTCATCGCGTGTCAAGATGACTTGAAACGGCCGATCCCGCCTGCCTGCTTTTTGGCAGTAAAAGGTACCCGATCGAGCTGAGATCAAGATGGCGATCGGGAATAAGATCGAATAGTATGGGAAACAATACTAGAACTCAAACGAATGTTCAAATTTCGAGAACAAAATTTTCAACCGACCAAAAGTCACCAAAAGGTCCGTCGAGATTTTTCTTGCCAACTAGCTCTCCAGGGCCCCGGAATTACTCTTAAGCTTCCAGCAATAACTTGCTAAGGGAAGCTCTACGAGTTACTGGGCGCCGGCGGTAAACCGTCAACCTTTCTTACCGCCGGGGGACTCGTAGAGCTTCCTGACAAAATATAATGTGGAAAAATGCAGGGAACGAATAGTTTTCAGCCCAAGCGATTTCAGACCTCTCGATGCAACAGCCGAACGCCCCCGATGCTTCTGGATTGTCTTCTTTACGAGCTCTGTAGCTCTCCTACAGCCCGAGTTACGTGCGTAAATCGACAGCACCTCTCAAGATGACTCTAACAAAACGAATAGTTTGGCAACCCAGCTCGAGTATCAAACCGAGTTCAGACCTCTGAATGCGACAGGCGGACGCGTCTGATGTCAGCAAATCGACTCCTGTGATTACCAGCCCTGCAACCCCCCTACATCCCGAGTTAAGTGCAGAAAACCGACAGCACCTCTCAGGATGACTCGAACAATACAATAGTTTCGCGACCTAGTTCGGGCAGCAGAACGAGTTCCGAGCTCTGGATTCGACAGGCGGACGCGCCTGATGTCTTCAAATCGATTCCTGTGACCACCAGCACTGCAGGCCCCCCCCAGCCCGAGTTGAGTGCAGAAAACCGAGAGCACTTCTCAAGATGACTCGAACAATACGAATAGTTTCGCGATTCTAGATCGAGCAGCAGACCGAGTTCAGAGACCTGGATTCAACAGACAAATGTGCGATTGATGATTCTGAATCGTTTTCTGTAAGTATCACCTCTGTAGCTGTCCTATAGCTCGAGTTAAGTACAGAAAACCGAGAGCGTCTATCAAGATGACCCGAATAAAACGAATTGGTTTGCGGACCTAGCTCGGCTAGCAGACCGAGTTCAGACCTCTAGATTCAACAAGCGAACGCGCCTGATCATTCTGAATCGATTAGCTGTGCTTACCAGCTCTGCAGCTGTCCTAAAGCTCGAGTTATGTTCAGAAAACCGTCATCGCGTGTCAAGATGACTTGAAACGGCCGATCCCGCCTGCCTGCTTTTTGGCAGTGAAAGGTACCCGATCGAGCTGAGATCAAGATGGCGAGCGGATATGAGATCGAATATCACGGGAAAAAATACTAGAGCTCAAACGAATGGTTGAATTTCGAGAACAAAATTTTCAACCGACCAAAAGTCACCAAAAGGTCCGTCGAGATTTTTCTTGCCAACTAGCTCTCCAGCGCCCCGCAACTGGCGCCGACGGTGAAGCGTCAACCTGGTCACCGCCGGGAACCTTGTAGAGCTCCTTGCACCCGTAAGAAAGCTTAGGGTTGAAGCGGAGAGCTTCTGGGAGCTGTTCTAGAAAAACGTCAAATTGAGATTTTCGGAGTGAAGATGAAGTCGGTTCTGGGAAGTCAACTAAACTGGCTCTAGAGATCTGAGCTGCTCTTGGAACGACTTTTATATTCATATGCTCGGCGTAAAAATCTGCTTTCTCAAAATAAATGGTCAAATATCTTTCAAGTATTCGCAAAACCACCCAAAAGTTGTCACATTGTCCTTTCTGGCCGGCTCGACCAACTGGGCGCCGGCAGTAAACCGTCAACCTTCCTTACCGCCGGGGGACTCGTAGAGCTTCCTGACAATATATAATGTGAAAAATGCAGAGAACGAATAGTTTTTCAGCCCGAGTGATTTCTGACCTCGATGCAACAGCCGAACGCCCCCGATGCTTATGGACTGTCTTCTTTACGAGCTCTCTAGCCCTGCTACAACCCGAGTTATGTGCGCAAATCGACAGCACCTCTCAAGATGACTCTAACAAAACGAATAGTTTGGCAACCCAGCTCGAGTATCAAACCGAGTTCAGACCTCTGAATGCGACAGGCGGACGCGTCTGATGTCAGCAAATCGACTCATGTGATGACCAGCCTTGCAGCCCCCCTACAGCCCGAGTTCAGTGCAGAAAACCGACAGCACCTCTCAAGATGACTCGAACAATACAATAGTTTCGCGATTCTAGATCGGGCAGCAGACCGAGTTCAGAGCTCTGGATTCGACAGATAAACGAAACTGATTTTTCTGAATCGGTTTCTGAAAATATCAGCTCTGTAGCTGTCATGGAGCTCGAGATAAGCACAGAAAACCGAGAGCGCCTGTCAAGATGACTCGAATAATACAAATAGGTTTGCGGGCCTATCTCGGCTAACAGACCGAGTTCAGACCTCTGGATTAAACAGGCGAACGCGCCTAATCATTCTACATCGATTAGCTGTGCTTACAAGCTCTGTAGCTGTCCTAAAGCTCGAGTTATGTTCAGAAAACCGTCATCGCGTGTCAAGATGACTCGAAACGGCCGATCCCGCCAGTATGCTTTTTGACAGTGAAAGGTACCCGATCGAGCTGAGATCAAGATGGCGAGCGGGAATAAGATCGAATATCACGGGAAAAAATACTAGAGCTCAAACGAATTGAGGAATTCCGAGAACAAAATTATCAACCGACCAAAAGTCAGCAAAAGATCCGTCGAGATTTTTCTTGCCAACTAGTTCTCCAGCGCCCCGGAATTACTCTTAACCTTCCAGCAATAACTGGCGCCGGCGGTGAACCGTCAACCTGGTCACCGCCGGGACCAACCTCGTAGAGCTCCTTGCACCCGTAAGAAAGCTCAGGATCGAAGCGGAGAGCTTCTTGCAGCTTTTCTAGAAAAACGTAAAATTGATATTTTCGGAGTGAAGATCCAGTCGGTTCCCGGAAGTCAACTAATACTAAAACTGGCTCCAGAGAGCTGAGCTGCTCAGGGAACAAAGTTCACATGCCAATGCTCGGCGTAAAAATCTGCTTTCTCAAAATCAATTGTCAAATATCTTTCAAATCTGAGCAAAACCGACCCAAAGTCACCACTTTGTTCTTTCTGGTCGGGTCGACCAACTAGCTCCACCCCGCGCCGGAACGAGTTACTTTCCAAAACCCGGATAGCAAGAGACGCGCGCGCACAGGTCTCGCCCCGCAAGCGCCACTGGGCGCCGGCGGTAAACCGTCAACCTTTCTTACCGCCGGGGGACTCGTAGAGCTTCCTGACAATATTCCCGGATAGCCTCTTGGGCTACGTAGGGCTGTTAGAGAAGAAGCCGGCGGGTGCGCGTACGCCGCCGCACCCTTCCGCCCACCGCTCCACGTTCCCTTCCGTGGCTCCTCGGGTTCCGCAGCATGTCCCGGAGCGTCTGTTCCAATACGTTCCCGTAGAACGTGCTCCAGAGGCCTCGCGAAGCTCCCGGGCAGCGAGCTCCAAGGCCGCGCGAAGCTCCCGGGCAGCGAGCTCCAAAGCGTCCAGGCACGCGTGGAGACGTCGCTCTCAGCCCTTCAGGAGCGCGCCAGGCGAGGTTTCTCAGCTTTCAGGAGCGTGCCACCACGCACGTCTACCACGCACGTACGCCACACGTGACACGCACCCGTGCACGAGGACCCGTTGGCGCGCCTGTGGCGCGCGTTCTCTCTTTCAGGCGAGCTCCGACCTGGGCAGGTCGTTCTCTGCTCCAGCGGGAATGGAGCCCCGATCTGAGCAGGTCGTTGAACTGCTCGAGTGGCATACGGAACTCAACCGAGAGAGAAAGAAAAGAGAGCGAAAATGGAAGGAATCAGAGAAAAAAAAAAAAAGAACAGCAGGAAGGGACAGAGACGGGAAAGGACAAAGGGGAAGGACCACACAGAGAGAAAAAGAACAAAACAGAAAGCAGCAGAGAAGAACAGAAAAGGAAAGGAGACGGGAGATCGAGACAAGAAAGGTAAAGAAAACAGAAGCAGGAAGGAGGGCAGCCAGAGCAGAGCAGCAACGACGGAAACGACGGCGACGGCACGCCACGACGCCCGTGCCGAGGCGCCGCGCGGTCGCCAGCGCACCCCTAGCCCCGCGGGGCCAGAAGGGGGGGGCGCGCACGGCCGGCGCGGCGCCTGGGCGGCGCTGGACGCGCTCTCGGGCTTCTGGCACTGGCCCGAGGCTCGGGAGCGCGAAGCTCCGCACTCTGGTCCAGTCCTCGGAGCGGAGTTCTCTCTTTCTTGCCTCGCCGCCTTCTTGGAGCTCCATGCGCAGCCGTACCGGGATGCTATGGAGACCTTGGAGGACGACATCGGGAGCCGTGCCGGGCCCTTTGTCGTCTCAGGCGGGGGCGAGCGAGTCCACGCGCGACGCCAGAGGCGCCCAGAGTGGCGCTTGCGGGACGAGACCAGTGCGCGCGCGTCTCTTGCTATCCGGGTTTTGGAAGATAACATGTATAATGTCGAAAAGAAATTGCAACGAACGAGTAGTTTTTCAGCCCAAGCGATTTCAGATCTCTCGATGGAACAGCCGAACGCCCCGATGCTTCTGGATTGTCTTCTGTACGAGCTCTGTAGCTCTCTTATAGCCCGAGTTACGTGCGTAAATCGACAGCACCTCGAACAATACGAATAGTGTGGCAAACCTAGCTCGAGTATCACACCGAGTTTAGGCCTCTCAATGCGACAGACGGACGCGTCTCATGTCTCTGAATTGATTCCTGTCATTACCAGCGCTGCAGCCCCCTAGAGCCCGAGTTGAATGCAGAAAACCGACAGCACCTCTCAGTGACTCGAACAATACGAATAGTGTCGCGGACCTAGTTCGGGCAGCAGACCGAGTTCCGAGCTTTGGATTCGACAGGCGGACGCGCCTCATGTCTCTAAATCGATTCCTGTGACTACCAGCACTAGCAACCCCAGTTAAGTACAGAAAACCGACAGCACCTCTCAAGGTGACTCGAGCAATACGAATAGTTTCGCGATTCTAGAGCGGGCAGCAGACCGAGTTCAGAGCTTTCGATTCAACAGAGAAACGTGACCAATAACTCTGAATCGGTTTCTGTAAGTATCAGCTCTGTAGTTGTCATATAGCTCGAGTTAAGTACAGAAAACCGAGAGGGCCTGTCAAGATGACTCGAATAATACGAACAGGTTTGCGGACCTAGCTCGGCTAGCAACCAATTTCAGACCTCTTGATGCAACAGACGAACGCGCCTGATTTTTCTGGATCGATAAGGTGTGCTTACCAGCTCTGTAGCTGTCCTGTATCTCGAGTTAATCAAATATACCGACAGCGCGTATCAAGATGATTCGATACGGCCGATCCGGCCTGGACGCTTCTTGGCAGTAAAAGGTATCTGACCGAGCTGAGATCAAGATGGCGAGCGGGAATGACATCGAATATCATGGGAAAAAATACTAGAGCTCTAACGAATGTTCAAATTTCGAGAACAAAATTTTCAACCAATCAAAAGGTCCGTCGAGATTTTTCTTGCCAACTAGCTCTCCAGCGCCCCGGAATTACTCTTCAGCTTCCAACAATAACTTGCTAAGGGAAGCTCTACGAGTTACTGGGCGCCGGCGGTAAACCGTCAACCTTTGTCACCGCCGGGGGACTCGTAGAGCTTCCTGACAACAAATAATGTCGAATAAAATTACACCGAAAAACAATTTTTCAGCCCAAGCAATGGGAACCGGCGGTAAACCGTCAACCAGGTTACCGCCGGGACCCTCGTAGAGCTCTTTTCTCACACCGCGCTTCTCGTAATACATCAAGAGAGCTTCTGGAGCGAGAAACGAAAAAATCGAAAAATCACGTTTTTCCGTTTTCACCCAACGTTGGTTCCCCCAAGTGTTTTGATAGTAATACTGTACCTACGGACCTGAAAATTTTACTGGCGAGTGCGGCATAACTCACAACAGGTGCGAACAATCTGGGCTCTCAAAATGAATTGTCAAATATCTTTCAAATATTCGCAAAACCACCCAAAAGTTGTCACATTGTCCGCCTCGGCCGGGTGGGCCAACTGGGCGCCGGCGGTAAACCGTCAACCTTCGTCACCGCCGCGGGACTCGTAGAGCTTCCTGACAACATATAATGTCGAAAAAAATTACACTGGAAAAATATTTTTTCAGCCCAAGCAATTTCAGACTTCTCCGATGTAACAGGCGAACGCCCCCGATGCTTCTGGATTGTCTTCTGCACGAACTCTGTAGCTCTCCTACAGCCCGAGTTACGTGCGTAAATCGACAGCACCTCTCAAGATGACTCGAACAATACGAATAGATTGGCAAACCTAGCTCGAGTATCAGACCGAGTTCAGACCTCTGCATGCGACAGGCGGACGCGTCTGATGTCTCTGAATCGATTCCTGTGATTACCAGCCCTGCAGCCCCCCTACAGCCCGAGTTAAGTGCAGGAAACCGACAGCACCTCAGGATGGTTCGAACAATAATAGTTTCGCGGACTCGGCAGCAGACAGAGTTCCGAGCTCTGGATTCGAAAGGCGGACGCACCTGATGTCTCCGAATCGATTCCAATGATTACCAGCCATGCAGCCCCCCCACAGCCCGAGTTGAGTGCAGAGAACCGACAGCATCTCTCAAGATGACTCGAACAATACGAATAGTTTCGTGATTCTAGATCAGGCAGCAGACCGAGTTCAGATCTCTGGATTCAACAGACAACGGCCACTGATGATTCTGAATCAGATTCTGTACGTATCAGCTCAGTAGATGTCCTGTAGCTCGAGTTAAGTATAGAAAACCGAGAGCGTCTGTCAGGATGACCCGAATAATACGAATAGGTTTGCGGACCTAGCTCGGCTAGCAAACCGAGTTCAGACCTCTGGGTTCAACAGGCGAACGCGCCTGATCATTCTGAATCGATTAGCTGTTCCTACCAGCTCTGTAGCTGTCCTAAAGCTCGAGTTATTTTGAGAAAACCGACAGCGCGTGGCAAGATGACTCGAAACGGTCAATCCCGCCTGTGTGCTTTTTGGCAGTAGAAAGTTACCCGATCGAGCTGAGATCAAGATGGCGAGCGGGAATAAGATCGAAGATCACGGGAAAAAATACTAGAGCTCTAACGAATGGTTGAATTTCGAGAACAAAATTTTCAACCGACCAAAAGTCAGCAAAAGGTCCGTCGAGATTTTTCTTGCCAACTAGCTCCCCGGCGCCCCGGAATTACTCTTAAGCTTCCAGCAATAACTTGCAAAGGGAAGCTCTACGAGTTACTAGCTCCACCCCGCGCCGGAATTCCTCTAGCTCATCGATGCCGAAGAGCTCTACGAGGTATTTCAGACCTCTCGGACTGGGCGCCGGCGGTAAACCGTCAACCTTTCTTACCGCCGGGGGACTCGTAGAGCTTCCTGACAATATATAATGTGAAAAAATGTTGAGAACGGATAGTTTTCCAGCCCCAGCGATTTCAAACCTCTCGATGCAACAGCCGGACGCCCCCGATGCTTCTCGACTGTCTTCTTTACGAGCTCTATAGCCCTCCTAGAGCCCGAGTTACGTGCGTAAATCGACAGCACCTCTCAAGATGACTCTACCAAAACGAATAGTTTGGCAACCGAGCTCGAGTATCAAACCGAGTTCAGACCTCTGAATGCGACAGGCGGACGCGTGTCATGCCTGCGAATCGACTCCTGTGATTACCAGCCCTGCAGCCCCTACAGCCCGAGTTACGTGCAGAAAACCGACAGCACCTCTCAGGATGACTCGAATAATATAATAGTTTCGCAGACCTAGTTCGGGCAGCAGACCGAGTTCCGAGCTCTGGATTCGAGAGGCGGACGCGCCTGATGTCTGCAAATCGATTCCTGTGACCACCAGCACTGTACCCCCAAGCCCGAGTTGAGTGAAGAAAACCAAGAGCACTTCTCAAGATGACTCGACCAATACAAATAGTTTCGCAATTCTAGATCGGACAGCAGACCGAGTTCAGAGCTCTGGATTCGACAGACAAACGCAACTGATGATTCTGAATCAGTTTCTCTAGATCTCAGCTCTGTAGCTGTCCTACAGCTCGAGTTAAGTACAGAAAACTGAGAGCGCCTCTCAAGATGACATAATACGAATAGGTTTGCGGACCTAGCTTGGCTAACAAACCGAGTTCAGACCTCTGAATTCAACAGTCGAACGCGCCTGATCATTCTACATCGATTAGCTGTGCTTACCAGCTTTCTAGCTGTTCGAAAGCTCGAGTTGTGTTCAGAAAACCGCTATCGCGTGTCAAGATGACTCGAAACGGCCGATCCCGCCTGCCTGCTTTTTGGCAGTAAAAGGTACCCGATCGAGCTGAGATCAAGATTGCGAGTGGGAATAAGATCGAATATCATGGAAAAAATACTAGAGCTCAGACGACTTGTTGAATCTTGAGAACAAAATTTTCAACCGACCAACAGTCAGCAAAAGGTCCGTCGAGATTTTTCTTGCCAACTAGCTCTCCAGCGCCCCGGAATTACTGGAACCTGCGGTAAACCGTCCACCACGTTACCGCCGGGCCCCTCGTAGAGCTATTTCCTCGCACGGCGCTCTCCAGTGCACATCTAGAAAGAGTCTGCAGCAAGACTCAACAAACTCGAAAAACACGTTTTCATGTTTCTATCCAAAGACGCTTCCGCCAAGTGCTTGGATAGTATTACTGCGCCTACGGACCTCAGAACTGGGCGCCGGCGGTAAACCGTCAACCTTGGTTACCGCCGGGAGACTCGTAGAGCTTCCTAGCTCGACTTATGTTGAGAAAAACGACAGCACCTACCAACATTCCGACTCATAGTAAATATGTTTTGACCTCTGAATGCGACAGGCGGACGCGTCTGATGTCTCCGAATCGACTCATGTCATTACCAGCCCTGCAGCCCCCCTACAGCCCGAGTTAAGTGCAGAAAACCGACAGCACCTCTCAGGATGACTCGAACAATACAGTAGTTTCGGAGACCTAATTCGGGCAGCAGACCGAGTTCCGAGCTCTGGATTCGACAGGCGGACGCGCCTGATGTCTTCAAATCGATTCCTGTGACCACCAGCACTGTAGCTCCCCTCAGCGCGAGTTGAGTGAAGAAAACCGAGAGCACTTCTCAAGATGACTCGACCAATACGAATAGTTTCGCGATTCTAAATCGGGCAGCAGACCGAGTTCAGAGCTCTAGATTCGACAGACAAACACAACTAATGATTCTGAATCGGTTTCTGTAAACATTAGCTCTGTAGCTGTCCTACAGCTCGAGTTAAGTGCAGAAAACCGAGAGTTCCTGTCAACATGACTCGAATAATACGAATAGGTT